GTTCGAAACAATTTTCGGTTTGTGGCACATTTTGATATTGGGAGTGGACCGCGTTCCCACCGAGCGAACGGAAGGCGTTCGTGCGGCGCGACCCCGCTTCCGACGATTTGGTGAAGGGAAGGCTACGCGCGCCGCGCGGGCCCGAAACGGCACACGTTCCGATGGTCGCGGCGACGACGAAACATGCGCCGTGGTGACACAGCGCTGCCACTTTCACTCGCAAGTTGCGCGGCGCTTGGGCCATTTTGCCCGCTCTCGCGCGGTCCCAAGCCGCTGTTGCGTTCGCGCGGTTCGGCGAACGAGCCATGCGCCAGGCCCGCGCGGGAGCGCCAGTGCCGAGCGAAATGCGCATGGAAACTGGGCGGGGGCAACAAGTCGCTCATTCGGTCGGGACTTTCCCAAATAGGCGAATGAAAAATATGCGCCGCGCCGAGGCGGGAACGCCACTTTCAAGCCGACTTTGCGCGGCGCCAAGGCGAGAGCCTCATTTTCGTGCTCGTGCGTCGTCGACACTGCGTGCGAAGAATGTGCGCCGCGCCAAGGCTGTAGAGAAATGAGCGCGGTACTGAAACGATGCGTCATTGAGGCTTTTTCCGCGGGTTGCGCTCCCCGTCCCGTTCTTGCCACGCATGCTGTAACATGGGCGACGTAATGTCCATTTTGGGCCGAAAATGTAGATTATGCGCATCGGGCGGCTACCGGCCAGTTAGGTAGCAAAGCCGGAGTATACTGCACAACGAGTTTTTGCACGTAAGGGGTTATTTAGTTGTTGTCTAACGAAGTGGGCTGGTGTGCCGTTCTGGCGGCTATGTGACCGCCGTCACCACACCATCGCCGCCTCGTCGCCGTCTGTCGTCTGGGCCAGTGTGCCGCTTTGGCGGCCATGGGGCCGCCGTCGCCGCCCCGTCGCCGCTTCGTCGCCGCCAGTCGTCTGGACTTGTGTGGTGGTCTGGTGGCTATGTTGTCGCCGTCGCTGCGCCGTCGCCTCTTCGTCGCCGCCCGTCGTCTGGACCGGTGCGCCGGTCTGGACATCTATTGCACAACGTAGATCGCGCAACATATGATGCACCATATACATCGCATCACGGACACATCTCACAGCATGGATTACATAACATATATTGCACCGCATATGTTGCACCACCTAGGTTGCACATCGCACAGATCACATAACATTTATCGCACAACATTGATGTCACAACATATGTCGCCCCTCATTTATGTTGCATCACATAATTTGCACAATCATGTTTGTACCACATACATTGTTCCACCTATGTTTCACAGTATCGACGGCGCACATATATTGCACAACGTATATTGTACCACCCAGGTTCTTTCGCATCGATCGCACAACACAGATTCCACCACCTAGATTGCACCACGTATACTTCACAACATACATTGCGTTACATCGATTGCACAATATATATATATATATATATATATATATTGCACCACTTGGATTGCACAACACAGGTTGCACCACATATATTGCCTCAGGTAAGTTGCGCAGCAAATATTGCACAACATAGATTGTTCCACATATAATTGTACAACATCTATTTCACCATATAGGTTGCACGGCCCAGAGTGCACAACATAGATTCTCCTTTCTAAAAAGAGAATAGACTCTACCCCCCCGGACTTAACGCTTCCCCCCGGGATATTATAATTTCACATATATATATATATGAATATTCTGCACACCCGTCCATCCTAAATATGAAATCGTAGCATCCCAGGCAGGCCGGTTTCCCCCCCCCCTGAGGGTCCCTTGTAAAAACACTATGCGGTGACATTTTTTGTTCTAACATAACACTTTTTCACGAATCCCTTGCAAAAACATGAGACGAAGTGCACACGCGCGCGTCGTCGCGCGCGCATGCCGAAATCCTTCAAAAACCCTCGGTGCCGGAAGGATTTCGCAATCGAGTTTCCAAATTACCCTGTGACGTACCCAACCCATTTGTATCATGGGAAACGAGGAGTTGGCCGAAACTTGCACGGACAATCAAATTGCAGGATCCGTTGTTTGATATGTAAGCTACTTGGGACAAGCTCAGCAGCCCTCGAAAGTGGCGACAGTTTCACAGATCGCAGCCCCCAGCAGCCCTCGAAACGCAGCGACGAGCGAGGTAAGAAAGTGGCGACAGTTTCACAGATCGCAGCCCCCCAGGGATGGCGAGGTCCCATTTGAATCCGCCGCGGGTGCACACTGTGCTGGGCCCCCCAGCAGGCCTCGAAAGTGGCGACAGTTTCACAGATCGCAGCCCCCCAGGGATTGCGAGGTTCCATTTGAATCCGCCATGGGTGCCCACTGTGCTGGGCCCCCCAGCAGGCCTCGAAAGTGGCGACAGTTTCACAGATCGCAGCCCCCCAGGGATGGCGAGGTCCCATTTGAATCCGCCGTGGGTGCACACTGTGCTGGGCCCCCCAGCAGGCCTCGAAAGTGGCGACAGTTTCACAGATCGCAGCCCCCCAGGGATGGCGAGGTCCCATTTGAATCCGCCGCGGGTGCACACTGTGCTGGGCCCCCCAGCAGGCCTCGAAAGTGGCGACAGTTTCACAGATCGCAGCCCCCCAGGGATGGCGAGGTCCCATTTGAATCCGCCGCGGGTGCACACTGTGCTGGGCCCCCCAGCAGGCCTCGAAAGTGGCGACAGTTTCACAGATCGCAGCCCCCCAGGGATGGCGAGGTCTCATTTGAATCCGCCGCGGTGCACACTGTGCTGGGCCCCCCAGCAGGCCTCGAAAGTGGCGACAGTTTCACAGATCGCAGCCCCCCAGGGATGGCGAGGTCCCATTTGAATCCGCCGCGGGTGCACAGTGTGCTGGGCCCCCCAGCAGGCCTCGAAAGTGGCGACAGTTTCACAGATCGCCGCCCCCCAGCTGGCACGCAGCGACGAGCGAGGCAAAAGGCAAGGGGGAAGAGAGGGGCGGGAAGGAAGGAAGGAAGGAAGGTTCGCGCGAGCAGTGCTCTATTCAAAACGAGAACCCAACGCCGGAGGGTTGGGAAAACACATACACAAACACATGGTTTCGCAACACTGATTTGCTAAACAAGCTTCCGCGCGAGCTCTTGCGAAATCTTAAGAAAACCATAGGTATTTCAAGATTTGCACAACACGCTACCAAACGGGCTTCGCGCGCGCGCATGTCGAAATCTGTCGAACGCCCTTGCGCGTGTGCCGTCGCGAGAATCCTCTGCAAAAAATGGGACGAAGTGCAGACGCGCGCGTGGTCGCGCGCGTACGCCGAAATCCTTCAAAACCCATAGGTTTCGGAAGGATTTCGAACTCGCGCGTCCAAAACACCTACAAAAACCCAAGGTTTCGCAACACGGATTTCAACAAAAGCGTGCGCGCGCGCTCTTGCGTCGTCGTCGTCGTCGTCGTCGTCGTCGTCGTCGCCGTCCTCCCTCCTCCTGCGTCGTTGTCGTCGTCGTCGTCGCCTACGTCGTCCTCTGTCTTTCCTCGTGTTCGTCGTCGTCATCCTCTTTGGCGTCGTGGTCGTTTCCGTCGTCGTTGTCGCCGTGGTCGTCCTTCCTCCTCCTCCCTCGTCGTCGTCGTCGTCCGCCGTCGGCGTCTCGTCGTCGTCCCTCCTATTTCGTCGTCGTCGTCGTCGTCGTCGTTGTCGTCGTCGTCTTCCCTCCTCCCTCGTCGTTGCCGTCGTCGGCGTCGCCGTCCTTCCTCCTTCTTCGTCGTTCGCGTCGTCGCCGTCCTCCCTCCTCCCTCGTCGTTGTCGTCGTTGTCGCCGTTGTCGCCGTCGTCGTCCTCCTCCTCCCTCGTCGTCGTCTTCGTTGGCGACGTCGTCGTCGTCTTCGTCGTCGTCGTCGGCGTCGGCGTCGTCGTCGTCTTCGTCGTCGTTGTCGGCGTCGTCGTCGTCGCCGCCGTCGTCGCGTCGTCGTCGTCGTCGTCGGTGTCGTCGTCGTCGTCGCGTCGTTGACGTCGTCGTCGTCGTCGGCGTCGTCGTTGTCGTCGTCGTCGGCGTCGTCATCGTCGTCGTCGTTGTCATCGTCGTCGTCGTCGGCGTCGTCGTCGTCGTCGTCGTCGGTGTCGTCGTCGTCGTTGTCGTCGTCGTCGTCGTCGTCGTTGTCGGCGTCGTCGAAGTCGTGGGAGACGTCGTCGGTGTCGTCGTAGTCGTTGTCGGCGGCGTCGTCTTCGTCGTCGTTGTCGCTGTCGTCGTCGGCGTCGCTGTCGTTGGCAAGTGCCATTTGGTACCCACCGTCACGGTCTTAAGAGAGTTTGCGAACCAAGTTGCGGGTGGGTGGGTGGGATGTTTGCGCGAGCAGTGGAGTGGTCAAGCGCGGTGCAGGGTAGTCAATTGCACCGCATAGATGGCACCTCATACATGTACACACATCTATTTAGTTGTACATCTATATATATACACATAACTGTATATGTATTGCACCACACAGGTGTCACCAAATAGCTTGCTAGAAACCGATTGTTTGCGGTCTACCCTGTCTGACACAGGAATGTGGAGGAAGGATCTGGCCATCGTAATGCTCGAACCAGAGTCCAGCGAAACCGCGGCTTTGAAGACGAGCCGCCCCCGCATTTGTGTAACCGCCCAGCAACTTCAGACACTTGTTCGTTTTTCCTGGAAGTGTCTCAGGCTAGAGCTCCACTTTGTGAGGGGCCTCCTTCCACTTTGTGCGACTGTTGACGATCCTTCTCATGCTGTGCCCGTGATTGCCGAGCCCGTACCACGCGAGCTCCACTTTGGTCAGGTGCCGCCGCCTCCAGCCGTGCAGCGGCTCCAAACGGGATCGATGCTCCAAGCGCCGGTGGCGGATCCCTTGCAACGGGCGCTTCGCCCGAGACATCCTCACAGCAGGGATGCTGGAGGATCTCTTGTGCAACACCGTCCAGTCAAGAGATGGAGCTCTCGCTGCGGACCAGCTCAGAACATAGAGGTGCCGAAAGAGCTGTCCCTTCCCTCGGTGCAGCAATCGAGGTGGTGCAACCTAGGTTGTGCAACCTATATTGTGCAATCTATGTGGTGCGGTCTTTGAGTTACAGTTTCTGCTGTGCGGTAAGGCTGGAGCAATGTATTCGGCACAAGCTACGTAGTGCAATTCATTTTGTGCATTCTACGGTGTGCAACTTATGTTGTGCAACATGTGGTTCCGTGTATGTGGTGCAATCTACGTGGTGCAATTCGCATTGTGCAGTCTATGCCGTGCGATTTATGTGGCGCGCAATATATGTGGTGCAATGCATGCGGTGAAATCTATGTTGTGCAATGTATGTTTTGCAATGTATTTTGTGCGTCCTATGTGGGGCGGCGTCGGCGGCCACATAGCCGCCAGACCGAAGACACGGCCCAGACGACGGGCGGCGACGAGGCGGCGACAGGGCGGCGACGGCGGCGACATAGCCGCCAGATCGAAGACACGGCCCAGATTCTCAGAACCGACGTAAGAAGCCCTAAGCGCAAGCACTGTTTGGGGATTCTTGAAACCTAAGTGTGTTCCAACGTTCGGCACCGCCTGTACTATGCACCCTCCGGCCGCCTGAGGCCCCGCCCGCCCGCGCCCTGTCTCCCCAATTAGGGCTTCGCGCGCCCCGCCTAGCTCTTAACCGGAAGGGGCCCGCTCCCGACGCGCCGACCAAAAATGTGTTCCAACGTTCGGGGGGTTCTCCTGAGTTCGGGAATTTCCAAAGCAGCGTCAAAACCTCAGTTGCTGTGCGCTTCCTTCGTCGCTCGGAGGTCCGATGGAGGCAGCTTCTCGACATCGGTTTCGGTTGAACAACGAGCTGTGTCCTTTTGTTCCATTGCATGATTTTGGGGTTCTCTTGGAGGAGGAAGAGGAGGATGAGGAGGAGGAGGAGGAGGAGGAGGTGGAGGAGGAGGACGTCGACGACGACAAGTAATAGCGGCGGATCGGGACCAGTATTAGCAGACATTTGCACATTCCCTGCGCCATTTCAGCACCACGTCTGAACTGGTGCGGGTAGTGAACTCCACCTGTCTTCGGAGGCTCGGAGGACGACGAGGTCAGGGAATCGGAGGAGAGCGATGTGCAACAGCAAGATCAGGAACAAATCAGGCGCTGCTCACTGCCCACGCGAGCAAGAGTCGCTGGACGGCGTGCCCTGGTAAGGCCCGGCACGGCAGGACTCACGAGCTGGAGCTGGAGCTGGAGCTGGAGCTGTAGGGAGGGGGTAGGCAGAAAAAGAGGAGGGAGAGGGAGAGGGAAAGAGGGAGGGATAGAGAAGGAAAGAGAGAGAGAGAGAGAGAGAGAGAAAGAGAGAGAGAGAGAGAGAGAGAAAGAGAGAGAGAGAGAGAAAGCGAGAGAAAGCGAGAGAAAGCGAGATAAATCGAGAGAGAGAGAGAGAGAGGGACGTGGAGAGAGGGAAAGAGGTTGGGGTGGGAGAGGGAGGGCGAGAATGCAGGAGGTAGGGAAGTGGGGAGGGAGGGAGCGATGGAATGTACGGAAGCGACGGAGTGGGCGGAGTGGGACTGACGCCCTAGCCCACACGTGGCGCCCCGGGCGCCCGGGCAGGCATCTGGGCCCTCTCCAAGCGGCACAGGAGGACGCTCGCCGGGGAGCAGACGATCATGTCGGTGGACAACAAGACGCACTGCTTCATGCACAACGCCGGCACCGCGACCATCGCGGAGACGAAGGCCACGCCTCTCTGCCGGTCGTCGTCGCCCTCCTCCTCCTCCTCCTCCTCCTCGTCCTCCTCCTCCTCCTCCTCCTCCTCCTCCTCCTCCTCCTCCTCCTCTCCCTGGCCTATGCGGGTTTGCTCGGCAAGCCTCGATGGATAGCTCCCCCGCGGAGCCGCGGATGTCCACTGCCCCCCGTGCGGGCTGCCTCTCGTCCCTGGTCTGGCCGCCTGCGCCCCCCCCCTCTCTCTGGGGCCCGGCCTGCTTCCGCTGGCCAGCGTGCTTCGCTCCCTTCCCTCGCGCCCGCCCTCCCCCCGCTTCCGTCGTGGCCAGTTCGGCACTGTGTCCCTCGGACGCCTTGCACCGCGGCGTGGATGCGCGCCGCGGCGACCCAGCGGTGCTCCCTCGCGGGCCGCTGCGGCCGGCTCGCCTCCCGCTCGGGGGCGGGGTGTGTGGGGCGGGCGCGGTGGAGGACGAGGCCGTGGCCCCCCCCCCCTGCGCCGCCGGCTTTCTGCCGGGCCCTCCCCGGCACCCCGCCGCGGCCTGCCCCGCCCCGGGGGCCCCCGCATCGCGGCGGCCGCGCGGGGTCATTTGCGCGGAGCGCTTCGAGGTCGTTTCCGTGGGTTCCCTGCGGTTTTCCGACCTCGGGCTGCTCTCCAGCATCTGCGCCTCGCCGAGGGCGCTCGGGAGGGGCGCCCAGATCGCGCCGAGCGGCCGCCAGAAGCCCGACCCGTGGCCCGCGAGCCAGAGACGACGAAGATCTCGGCTCATTACGCGCGAGAGTGACCCTTCGCTGGATTGGCTGGCCTCTGGGTGCGGGCCCGCAGCTTTCCCCCCAGCACGAGTGTGCGCGCTTGGGTTTGCCGTGCCCCCCCCCCCGCACCTGTCCCCCGTGGCCCCCCCTGAAGCCGCGCAGCAAGGGTCACTCTTGCCTCAGGGGTCCAGCGGTGCTCAGTGCGCGCAGCCTTCTTTGCCATGCTACGGACTTCCTCGTTGGCCATGTCCGGTGGACTGAACGAGCTGGGCTTTCTGGCGTCATGGGGTGCGCTTCGGAGCATCCCTTATCCGCGAGCTGGGGGTCCAGGAGGACGCACGCCCTTGGAAAACAACCACCTCACATCAGCTGGAGCTGCTGGTGCATCAACCCTGGGACCTCGAGTGAGAGGGCTCCCGGTAATTAGGTCGTCGCACGTTTAGAGGCCCTCATTCAGCTCCTGTGCACTCGACAGCCACGGGCTTCGGCAGTGTCGATGAGAAGGAGGAGGAGGAGAAGTGCACCTGCATTCCTTTGGTCCTCTCTTCCTCTTTCTTCTCGGAGTTGCCGAGTCGCGTCCGTCGAATCGTCAGCCCTGGCAGCTGGGAGCCCAAGAGCACAAGTGGGCGTTTTGTTTTCCGACCCTGTCCGCGAAGCCGATGTTGGTACGGACCTGGCGTTGGGGCTCCAAGGCGTCCAGCCTCGCTATGTCCTGGGAGTTGTAGTTCTGGCTAGCAGTTGATGTACCATCATCCGCAGCCGAAAAACCTCCATCCTAACTTTTCGAGACGTTGCAGGTCTGGGTCCCAGTCCTCGTTCAACAGTCGACGCACTGGGCCTTTTCCCGCGTGCGTTCTAGCCAGAATTTCGGGGTGGATCCAGACGTGGCCATGAAGGCGCCTCCCGGAGACGGAAAAGGGCCAAAAGGTATCAAACGGTCTTGATCCTTCGTCCTCTTTGCATGCGCTCGGGATACAGCTAAGACCAATCGACCAATCCATGATCGATGTATGGCACTCTACCAGCAAACCGCATAGCAAGGATGAGTACCTATACGACCACCCTTCGGGTGATAAGGAGGTTGGGGGGAGGGGCAAGAACCAACTGCTGGCAACTGCGATGGGTGTGATGATGACGATGCTGGTGGAGCGCCCTCGAGTGGCGACGACGCGTGATCACGATGTTGCGCCACGATGTGTTGTCACAATCGACTATGGAACACCGCGGGACACCACTGCGACACTGCGGGACACCACGGGACACCACGGGACACCACGAGACACCATCGAGACACCACGGCGGGACACCGCAGGGCACCATCGGGACAACGTGGGACACCACGGCGGGACACCCCCAGCCACTGCGCGCCGACATGAGGGCCGGACTTGTACATCCGAATCGCCCTAGCGAAGGCGAGGTCATTTCTCTTACGCGCCCACGGCGAGACACCGCAGGACACCATCGGGACACCGCGAAGCACCACGGCGGGACACCCCCGGCCACCGCGCGCCCACTGGAGGACTGGACCTGTGCATACGAATCGCCCTAGCGATGGCGGCATCATTCCTCTCGCGCGCCCACGCAGTTTCGCCTCTTCCGCAGGCACGACGCGAACACGAAATTGAAACCGATTTCCTGGTGGGGGGCTCTCCGTTCCACTGCAATCTCACCCCCTAACCTCCGATCGTTCCAAGGGCACCCTTGCATCCTTGCGTTTCGTCCTTAGCCATGTGCGTCCAACTTCGGCTTCATCATGGCCGTTCAAGTTCACTGCATCCCCACCGCGCGTCTTTACCGCGTCCTTATGAACTGATCGCGACGTAAACGCAATCAAGTAATCAAAGCAAGCGGACGGCGAATAATAAAAAGGGATGGGTAGGGCACACGGATTCCTCACCTCTCTGTTTTTCTCCTCCCTGTCCTCCCTTGACCTCGGTTCGATCCTCGATTCACCCTCCTGTTTCCTCCTATTGCCGCCTCGAGATCTCCTGAGATCCGACGTCGCAACACAACATGCCACACCGTGAACTGTCACGGCCGAAGCCCCAGAGCCCCATCTCTGTACGGAAACGCTCGAGCCTGGTCGATCCGCGAGGGCCCCGGGGCCCGAGACCCGGAGAGAGAACCGCCGGGCGCGAAGGCGTTGCCGGATGGACCCCTCGAGCTCTCGCCGGATGGACCCCTCGAGCTCTCCGCCGCCTCGAGCGGCCCGCGTTCAGAGCAGGAGCTGCGGCAGAGCCGCAGGAGGGCGTGGCATCGGCAGTGCAGCTCCGCACGCGGGCTGCATGCTCGAGCAGGCAGCAAACACACAGAGAGAACGCCACGTGCGAACAAGACTGCGACGCCCGGGCCTCCGGGTCTGCCCTGCCCGCCACGCCGCCCGAGGCCTCTCCCTGCCTGGCCGTGTCTGGAGCTGCGTCCGGCCGCGGCGACGAGAGCCTCGGGACGCGCCCACGAAGCCTCTTGGAGCGGCGGCGACGCCGACGGCCGACGGCGACGGCGGCGACGGCGGCGGCGAGGGCCACGACATCGACGGCGACCGCGGCGGCGGCGGCGGCGGCGGCCTCGCGCCGCCCTGCCGCGCAGGACGAGGAGGGCCCCGCGAAGAAGGCGAAGGCGTGAGGCCGAGGCGGAGAGGCTCCGCGGCGGGCGCGCCCTGCAGAGCAGGACCTAAGCCGCCCGAGAGGCCGCGGGCCGCAGGCCGCCGGCTGCCCGGGGCGCCTGGGGAGGTCGCGAGAGGCTGCGGTCACTAGCGTGTGCGGACTGCTCGCCAGAACCCCCAAGGGCGACGGAAGATCTTCTGAGATTTCCCACCCACGGCGCTCCGCGTCACTCACCCCTTTTCCTTCCCCCTCCTCTCTCCTACCGTCATCATCGTCAGCATCGCCATCATCATCACCGCCATCATCATCAACATTGTCATCATCATCAGCATCATCATCGTCTTCTTCATCATTACCACCACCACCATCATCATTACTATGATTATAATTATCATCAGCATCGTCAACAACGCCATCATCATCACCATCATCATCACCACCATTACCACCACCATCATTATCATCACCATCACAATCAACGCCATCATCAGCATCATCATCATCAGCATCATCATCATTATTAACATCACAGTCATCATCGTAGTCACCATCACGATCATCATCACCACCAACATCATCACCAGCATGATCATGAACAGCATCATCATCGCCATCACCATCATCATCAGCATCATCACCATCGCCATTATCATCACATTTGCCATCATCACCACCATCATCATTCTATCAGCATCATCACCATCATCGTCATCAGCATCATCGTCATCACCATCACATTCACCATCATCACCATCACCACCACCATCATCATCACCACCAACAGCAGCATTCCCATCATCATCATTAGCATCATCACCATCATCACCATCATCAATATCATCATGAACATCAGCATCATCATCATCATCATAACCACTACCATCATCATCGCCACCATCATCATCATCACCACCATCATCATCATCACTATCAGCATCATCATCATCATCATCACCACCACCATCATCATCATCATCATCACCAACATCATCATCATCATCTTCATCTTTCATCATCATCATCAGCATCATCATCATCATCATCATCACCATCGTCGTCGTCATCGTCACCATCTCCGCGCACCTCTCACACGTTTCGGGGTCTTGCAGGGAGATCCACTGGAGGCCCCAGTGTCAGGGTCCGCATGCAGTTCTACCTCCAATTTCGGCGCAGCCCTCGCACGTCTCGTGGCCATTTAGGGAGCACCACCGAAGACCCCAGTGGCAGGGTCCGCATGCGGTTCCCACCCCCCGATCCGGCGCACCCCTCAACCGGACGAGGAAGTTTTCCCGCGACCGCAGAGCTTGCGAGTGCCCCGCGACGACTTGCGTGCTGGGGCAACCTGGCCTACAAATCAGTAACAGCACTGCTGGGACTGCACGGCACGGACGCAGGAGTGCAATCCAGCCCGAAGCTGCGGAGGACGGAGAAGAGCCGGGCGGAAACGCTCCCGAGCGGCGCGCATGGTAGCCGAACGTCGGAGCGAGGGCTGCACCGCCCCGCGTCGACGGCGGAGGGTGTAGGGGCCCGCGCGAGAGCCACCCCTCATTAGTTTCGTGGTCCCGAAGTGAGCTCCACGGAGTGCCCCAGTGGCAGGGTCCGCATGCGGCTTCAACACCTAATTCGGCGCACCCCTTCGCACGTTTCGTGGCCCCATGGAGGCTCCATCGAAGGCCCCAGTGGCAGGTCCGCATGCAGTTGCGCCCCCCATTTCGGCGCACCCCTCTCCCAAATTTCGTTGTCCCGTACGCAGCTCCACCAAAGGCCCTGGTGGCAGGGTCCGCATTGGTTTCAACTACCCACTTCGGCGCATCCCCCACAAGCTTCGTGGCCCCGTAAAGAGCTCCTCCGATGGCCCCTGCGGCAGGGTGCCATTCAGTTCATTCCATGCAATTTCAATTTCCATGTCGGCGCACCCCTCACACGTTTCGTGACCCCATCAGGAGCTCCACCGAGGGCCCCTGTGGCAGAGTCCGCACGTGGTTTCACCCCCCGATCCGGCGCACCCATCACACGTTTCGTGGCCCTATAGGGTCCGCATGCAGTTGCCACGCCCATTTCGGCGCACCCCTCACACGTTTCGTGACCCCGTATGGAGCTCCACCAAAGGCCCCTGCGGCAGAGTCCGCATGCGGTTTCACTCCTCAATTTGGCGCACCCCTCATAAGCTCCGTGGCCCCGTAGGGAGCTCCACCAAAGCCCCAGTGGCAGGGTCCGCATGCAGTTGCACCCCCTATGTTGGCGCACCCCTTATACGTCTTGTGGCCCACAAGGATCTCCGCTGAAGGCCCCAGTGGCAGGGTTGCATGAGGTACACCCCCCCTTCGGCGCAGCCCTCACACGTCTCGTGGCCCCATGGGGAGCTTACCGAAGGCCCTGGTGGCAGGGTCCGCATGCGGTTCCACCCCCCCGATTCGGCGCACCCTTCTCATAAGTTTCGTGGTCCCGAAGTGAGCTCCACGGAAAGCCCCAGTGGCAGGGTCCGCATGCAATTCCACCCCCGATTTCGGCGTACCCCTCACATGTTTCGCGGCCCCATAGTGAGCTTCACCAAGGGCCCCAGTGACCGCATTCGGTGTCAACTACCCACTTCGGTGCACCACTCTGATGTTTTGTCGCCCCAGAGGAAATTCCACCGAATGCCTCAGTGGCTGCGTCCGCATGGCGGACCCGCATCCGAACTGCGCACCCCTCACACGTTTCGTGGTCCCATGAGGAGCTTCCCTCGTTCGTCCCAACTGCCTTGCGGCACTCGCACCCGCAAATGATTGGGTCCTTCGCCAGGGTGATTTCCGCCTCCAGGGGCCCTGACTTGGCCCCGGCACCGTCCAGAAACGACTCGGGATGAAGAGCTGGTCCAGTGGACCGGGCGTCCACGTTGTGAGAAAATCATGACGCCGGGGGTCTGGGCCCTGAGATCTGGGCGTCGCATCTCTTTCACGCCGCGGGGACCCTCGCGGATCAATCTGGCTCGAGGAGTGCTGCAGAACGAGGGGGTCGAGGCTTTCAGTGGTGATTCCCAAGGTCTTGTGATTTTTCGCAACGTGGGATTTCTGGGGTGCGTGGGGTGCGAGGGAGGAAAGGAGGGACGGAGGGACAGACGGGGGGGAAGAAAGAACGGGAGCAGGGAGCGGGGGGGGGGACGGATGAGCGGGGAGGAAGCTGGGAGCAAGCGGAGGGGGCATGAAGGAGGGGGGGTCTGTTCGCCGCGGGCCCTTGGATTAAGCGGATTCGAGGGGAATGGAGGGAGGAGGGAAGGGGAGAGGGACAAGCCTAAATGCGACAACGGAGTGGCGGGGTGGCGCTTTACCGCTTGCACCGCCCTCGCAGGGGCCGTGCTTTGCCACCTACGCCATCCGAGGGCCGATCAAGCCTCGACCGAGATAACATCAGCTGGGAAGGGAAGAGGCAGGATGGAGGAAGGAGGACGGAGCAGGGAGCATGGGCCCAGACCTCCGGCGTCGTGAGTTTTTCACGGCGTGGGCCCTGGGACCTTCCGACCCCATCCCAGGGACCGGTGTTTCGTCCCCAGGATGGTCCTGGTGGCCCCTGAAGGGTATCCAACAAGGTCGCCAGGCTTGGGCCCCAAACAGGCGCCTCGTTCTTTCCGTGGCGAAGGATGTCTGGCGATTGGCCCTTGGACGCGTTATGGGCTACGGTTTGGTCAGGACTTAGACGCGGATCCAGCTGTGGCGACGAGGACGCTCTCCGGGAGATCCAGAGAAAGGCTCCCTAAGCGCCAGAGACCTCCTCGATAATCTCCATCCTCGGAGCTGTCGGACCACCTCGATGTCTGGGCTTTGGCGGCGGCCTTTGCCATGTTTTGCTTTCTCAGCGCGGGGCCCCCGGATCTCCCGACCCTTTCCAAGGCGGGCGTTTCTTCACGACTCGTTCTTTGACGGTCCCAGGGCCCGCGGGCGTCCTCCAGAGGCCGAGAACATAGGACACATTGCCGTCGCGATGATTGTGCGACGCCCAGGTCTGACAGACCTCGATCGCCTCGTGCGCCGCTAACTCCAAGAGGAGCAATCTGGACTGATGGGCCTGTTTTCCACCACAATAAGCTGGAGGGGGGAAGGATGAGGAGGAGGAGGAGGAGGAGGAGGAGGAGGAGGAGGAGGAGGAGGAGGAGGAGGAGGAGGAGGAGGAGGAGGAGGAGGAGGAGGAGGAGGAGGAGAGGAGGAGGAGGAGGAGGAGGAGGAGGACCCCCTCCCCCTCCAACTCATGGTTGTGGGTGTGGAAAACAGGCCCACCATGGACGGTGTCCCAGCTGGATCTGGCCTCTTGCCGTGCAGCGCCCAGTCAATGCTGGGGCCAGTCCAGCTGGAGCTTCGGGATTCTTGATCGGGTGGGCCCCCGACCGGGCTCGGCCTGCCCTCTCGGGCAGCGCAGAGTCCCGCTGGAGCCTCGGGGCACCGTCGGGCGGCCCTCCAGCTGGACTTCGCCTCCTCCCAGGCAGCGCTGAGTCCAATCGGAGCAGGCCCAGTTGGAGCCGAGGGGCTCCATCTGGTGTAGGCTTCCAACAGGACTCGGCCTCCTCGTGGGCAGCGCCACGTCCGTCGGCGCCGCCGCCGCTCCGTCCGTCCGCCCCTCCTTCCCTCCTTCACACCACTGACACCCCCGAAATCCCACGTTGGCAAACAAATGGCAAGATCTAGGAAATCGCCACCGGAAGCCTCGACCCCCTCGCTCTGCGGCATTCCTCGAGCCGCATCGATCCGCGAGGGTTCCCGGGGCCCGCGGCGTGGAAGCGCTGGCTCTTCACTCCGAGCGGTCCAGCGAGGGCCCCAGAGGCCAACGAAGCTAAGCATTTTTCGTCGTTTTTGTTTACGCGACGCCAGGGACTGTCTGGGGTCCCTTCTTCCCTCTCGGGACGATCGAGATGGGTACGGAAAGAAGGGGCACACAGACTGACAGCAGTTCCTGCTCATCTTGTGCAGGACTCGCTGTCCGCGCCGACCCACGGGCGTTGTTCACTGAAGACAGCAAGCCGCTTGCCCAACAGCGGCCGCAGTCGGT